GGGTACTATGGCCTAGCCAAGTTGACACATAAAATTAACCACCACAGTTATCAACTTGAATTCTGAATGACCCTCACGCTAAGCCAGAATGGAGTTGGCCTCCCACTGCTCAGGACAAACCCCAGACAATTAAATCAAATATCTGTGGGTGAAGCTGAGGTTAAAGTAGTTTTTGGTGTTCCACAGATGACTCCAATGTGCATCCTAGGCCAACAGCAGTGGTTCTTCAAGTGTGTTTTCCAGCCATCTTCAACCTCAGCTGTAAACTTGCTAGAAGTGCACAATTCCCTGACTCCACTCCAGACCTACTAAATCAGAAAGCCCAGGAGTGAGGCCCATAGCCATTGGCTTAACAAGCCCTCCAGTTGATTCTAATGCATGCTCATCTGAGGATCACAGGTCTAGACTTATCCAAGGATACAATACTAACATATGCAGGAGCTTAATATCACACCTCTAGTTTCATTCCTCTTAACCAGAAGGGCAGGTGTAAGGCTTTTTGTGTGAAAGAACTCATTACTGCTCATTAAGATTTCTTTAAGTACTGGTGTATTTGTTGCAATGATACATATGAAAATAAAAGGGATCTTGACTGTGTGTCCAGGCTTCGCTGGGATTGGGTATTTTCAAGATACAATTTATAATCTAATTTGACATCAACTCTGGCGATCTCAATGGCAACTCCAGCAGTTGGACTGCCTTCCACATGTTTAGGTATAGAACCCTTATGTTGCTTTATAACGCCTTATTCTGCCATTTCCTCTCTCTACAAGATACTGAATGCTTTCTCCTGTATCTTCTGTTTAAATTCCTAATGGGACCCGATTGGCTCAGTTCATCACTTTTATCACTTGGGCAGTGTTTCTCTAACATTTGGCCAACTTCTAAGCTTCTGGCCAAGATAAAGATTGGCTTTCCTTTGGCCAGGTCTCCCACCACGCCCATTCAGTGGGTAACAGGTGAAAACAAAATGCAGAATGGTAATCTCCTAGAGCCATTTCCCTTAAAAAGTTTAAGGAGTTTCATGTCACAGCGTGAGGCTTGGTCTGTCAGGGGTGTTTAGCTGTTCTCTCTTAAATCTAGGTGTGTGTAGCTCTTTGACACAAAAAGATATCAGGGAGAAAATAAGCATTTGTTCAACTCTACCTTTTGGGCATGAGTTGGAAACTTTTACTGAAAAACTCAGGAAATGTTTCCCTTTCAACATTTTTTTTTTTTTTAATAGGGAAGTCTTATTGTCCAATTTAGAAATACCATAAGCCAAATTATTTTGGAAGAAAATAATCTTATTTGCATACGCCAAATTGTCAGGCCTGTAGCAACCATTTTAGTTTCACTAAGTCCATTTATTTCAAAACCATAGTGTAGGTAGTTATGGCAACTTTTAAAAAGGATTTGTTTGGTTGTAATGATATGAAGTGCTAATTATCAACTGTTTAATAATGAAATTCCTTCATGGTTTCAAGTGGGAAAAAAAAAAAACATTATGTTTTAGTTGTGCCACTTCATAGGAGTGAAATAAAATGCTTCCCAACTTAAATGCTTTTTGTACTTAAAGATGTAATATTATTATCCAAGTTAACAATCTGCTTTATATGGTCAATCTCTTTTATTTTCTGGAAGCTAAATTATCTTGGTAAGATTAGTCAATCTTCACAACCATGCCATTACAAATAATCTATAAATTGGGGCATATACTCTATTGAGGTCTGTTACACATTTCAAATTAAGTGTTCAATGGTGTTCAATATTTTTAAAAATAGATAAAAGCATTATTTCTCCTAGTATCTCCACTTTATAAAAACAAAAGAAACCCAGATTTGCCTCTGTATTTTTCTATCTCCTCACTCATATTCTTAAAAACAAAACAAAATTCAATATAGTTGACTGCTGCTGGACAAGACTTTTGAGTGCTTCATAGAGAAACCCTTTCAATTTGAGGATTTTTAACACCCACTTCAGCAGGCTATTATGTAATTACATGTTCATAGTTTAATTTAGAAGTGAAGAGATTAAGTGAAAGTAGTAGCAGCAGAGGGCAGTTTATTTTTGAGGATACCAGCAGATGTCAGCAAAAACTAAGGCAGTGTCACATGAATTCTGCACGAGAATGTTAAGCTATTTCTAGCTGGTTAACCATAATGTAAATAGGAGATCTCTGATTACCAAAGTTCCATCAAGATAAGACATCTCAGTCTTCTACATTGTAATCCAACTTATAACCACCTTTTTGGAGGTGGGAGGGGTGTGTGAGGCCCCAGTGGGAGCTGACATTTTTAGGACAGCAACACCTTTTTCAAGGACTGAAACGTTCTGGTTTTGTTTAAAACCAACCAACCATTCACAACACTATATAACAAGCCAAACTACACTTGAGTCAGCTACCTTCAATGAAAAAAATCAAATGGTTTAAAGAATATTCCATATTACACTAATACAAGTTCAGGGGTTCTGAACACAGAGGTATTTGTGAGTATAGGAATGAAGTTATTTTTTCCTGGGAAGATGGTTCATAGCTTTCATCAGCTTCTAACAGGAGTCTCTGACCCCCAAAAGGTAAAGAACCACGCTAAAACTTACTATATATGTGTCTGTATATATGGATATTTCAAAATTGATTTGCTAAAAATTATTTGCTTGAAACCATGCCAGGAAAGTAATATTAGAAAGACTGTCAGGTTGTAGAATAGCTTGTTACATAGAACCAGACTTAATATTTTAAAAATATAAGAATCCTATGTATGATATTCCAAGGTAAATAGCTATTTTCATATATTTGTAAAAAATAGAAAAAAGATCACATAGGATGCCATTTATTTTATTTACGGCTTGTGACGTTATCTTAAATATAAACTTCCCTACTAGAATCTATCTACTCACAACAGAAATTGTTTATGTAACTTTTATTTTTGCTTTTTAGATTACTAGAATTCTAAAATGATTTAGCCATGGAATATTTATGCAAAATATAAAGAGAATCTAGACGATTTCATTGTATTTCCTATTTCTGTAACTTTTATATTAAAAACCACCAAGGACTCATTAAGTAATTTTTCCAAAACACAGCATTTATTACAGGTTACTCTAAATCACATATGCTTTTCTCTGTAAATATTTTTTATGCTCATTTAGATTCTGGTCTCCTAAATGGGCATGATGAATAATATCACCAAAATTGCTCAAGAAGTTTTCCCTTGAAAAACTTTCTTATTACCATCTTTGAAAAATAATGCATGTATTCTAAGAAATGCTGAAATACAGCAATTTGAATTTTACTCATTTTTCCATCACAAAGATATTTCTATTTTAAATGTAATTACCTGAGATTTTAACTTGTCCTTATGAAAAGCCTAATAAACAATGGACTAAAAAAAGAAAGAAAAATGACAATAGTAATGTAACTAAGATCTAATTTATGATACTGGACATTCAGATATATTTGGAGTGTTTATATCTTCAACAAAATATTTCCTCAATTTAGACAAAAAAAAAAATCTGGCATCTGACTTATGTAAATAAAGCTAAAATATTTTTCCAGTGCTCAGGTGAAACATTCAGATCAAGGAATTGGTAAGCTAACTTTACTTCCGATAACTAGGGCAGTGAACAATTAAAACTTAAAAATGACATTTAATTTCAAGGTTGTAAGTACCATTCCAAAGTAAAACCACTTAAAAAGACAGCAAAATTAAAATAATAAAAAAAATCTTTAATCCAAACTGGCCATATAAATTTAAATGGCTACAAAATATTTCAAATAGCTAAAAACCTCATTTGATTAAACTGAAGTATTTGTGGAAAAGAAAACAAAAACCTAATTTAGTGGCAATGTCCTAGGTAACAAAACCTTTTAGACAAAATGATAGCTATCTATAAAAAAGAAAAGTACAGAGAGAAGATACCATTCCCCCCCCATTCTCCAAACAGCATCCATGCAAATTCCAACATCAACAGTCAATCAATTTCCCCCAAATTTATTTATAGTCTATGTCTTAACCAGTGTTTCTCCACATCTTTTTTTTCATTATCATTTCCCTAAGGATAGGTCTTTTAGTCTTAATTAACCACCCCCTAAAGTGTTAATACCACAGATACAGTATCTGTTTATGTATTGCATGTATACTTATGTTTTATGCATAAGATGTTTTTTGTCCCCCAAAAGAAATTTTCATTGAGAATTCATGGTATAAACAATGAACGGTTTACAGTATTAAAACATCTTTTTATTTTAATAAATGGGCAGAAGAGAAATATATTTTAGCACTTAGATATGTATATTATATCCAAAATAGTTTAACACTTAACTGTCAGTTGTATTAAAATCAGTTTTCCCTGAAGTAGGCATTGTTCCCAGCTACAGGCAGTCCTCATTTTGCCACAATAATGTGGTACCATAAAAATGGCCATGCAAAGCAATTTTAATTATCAACGGAGAAAAATGTGATTGTCCTATGACCTTTAAAAATCTGTCAAAATATTAAAAACTAGAAGCTATAAATGTAGAACAAAATTCAAAAAAGTTTAAAAATAGTATGTTGTAATTTAAAATGTTAGAAATATTGAGAATTAAACTGTCTTATTTCACTGTAAAAACTAAGAGTAGTCTGAATAGTGCTTGTCTTTTTTTTTGTCTGACACTGAGTAAAAATCTTTTCTATACAGTGGCAAATTATCATATTCAAGTTTGGATCAGCTTCTACCATTTTATTTGATCTTTCAATGTTGTAAAATATTTCCGTATCCACATTATATATCCTTTAATGTGATTTTTTTTTAAACTACCACTTCCTCTGGGATATATTTATCTTTTTCATCACAACCACTTTCCTCATTTATGTTGATAAGTTTGCTTTCACTAAGTTTCTCTGGATGTATGTCCAGAGTCTCCAGAACAGAAGCAATACAAACATCCCTATGATCAGTGATTTCTTGTGCAACTGTTAATATTCCACTCAAATTTCACTTCCAGCATTATTTTTCATGTCTTTGCTCTATTTTCATTTTTGTTGGCTCTTTCAATTGTCCACTTTTGTAAAATGTCAAGTGGGTGACTAGGAGACCACAAACTTTGCTATGAGTGAATCAAGTAACAGATGCACACGGACCAACCACTGGCAGAATTTGAAAGAAGTAACACGATTGGTCACTGATCATGAAGCACAGCTGTTACATAGTGATCTGTGGACTAAAGAGCTAGCAGAGAAATTTGCACTTCATGCAGTTACTCACATCTAATATACTGTAGTAAGTGAAATTTGAATCATGCTGTTTGGAGACTGATATTCTTTAAGTCATGGTCACTGAAATTTTTGCCTATAGAAACCATGCAAATCAAGGACTGCCTATATACCCTAATTGTTTACACAGGCCCAGACTGTCTTAATGCTGACTTCTGAGAAATAGCCCATCTTAACTGCCTACCAAATAATGAATTTTAAAGCACTCAAAATGCAAAGTAGTGCACGCTGAGTGGATATTGAGGTGGTTTTCAAATTGTTGTCATTTGGCAATCAAGCTTACAATGTATTTTAAATGACAGAATATTAGAAATAGAGAGAGGACCTTTAAAGATCCCATGGTTTGATACTACAAATTATCCAGCATGTTTATTATGAATTATTTCTCCTCCTTCAATTTCGATTTGTTCATATAGCCACTTGCGGTCACAGCGGCACTCAGCTCCACATTTGGTAGAACCACAGGCAGGACAAGCATAGAAACATCCTAAGCAGTCTTCATCAAGGCAGTCACAGAGGTCCATCCCACTGAAAATCAGGAGACCCTGGCTATCATACACCTTACTCTTCGCTGGTATCACTTGTCTGTGAAATAAAACACAATCAATTATATCTCATAAATACATTATTTTAAAATATTTACTTGAAAATATGGTAATGAAAAAAATTTACAGAGATAAAATATTTTGAATTAGGTCTTGACAAAGTGGTACACAAATTGTCAGGGTCAGGGCTTACTCTACAACCAGTAGTAAATGAACTCCATGTGAGAAGAGAAGACATAACTCTAGAGCAGGCATCCTCAAACTATGGCCTGCATAGCACATCTATCCGGCCCTCCGGGTGTTTTTGCCGCCACTGCCTGTCCTGCTTAGCAGCCGACTCATCCTGGGCCCACAGTGTGACTCTCCAATGGTCTGAGGGACAGTGAACTGGCCCCCTGTTTAAAAAGTTTGAGGACCCCTGCTCTAGAGTGCTGAAAAGAATCCAAAAAAGCCTGAATATACCTCTTGACACCCATTTAAAGGTCATTTCAGCAAGAGAATGGACAAAAACTTTGTCCAAACAATAAGTACATTTCTGTTACAGTGATTTCTCTTTTACCTTAAACAAACAAACAAACAAAAAGAATGGCTAGTTAATAGTGGCTCATTTTTATGGCTACCAATCTCTTCACTGTTTCATGAACATAGTTTTATCTTTATTATAGTATACTACTCTATAGGCTTTGACACTGTAATTAAATTTTATTCTTTCATGGACTCTAGTAAATTGAGCCTTAAAATATTTAAATGACTCAATGGTAAACTTTAACAGATAAACTAAATGGCATATGTAGAAATATTGATTGTATTTAATATTTAAGAATAATTCCAAATGATTATAGTATATGTATAATAATAGTTGTTTTAAAGAGTCATATTCTAAACAATTTAGTCCTTCCATTCATTCTGTTGAGTGTACCAGAACTGCATTTTTATTTCAGATGTGTAAAAAATAAAAAGCAACCTTCCATTCTCATAAATTTAATTACTTTTCAGCTGCCACCCATAAAGCAGACATACCAATTACAGGCATACGTGGAGACATTTCGAGTTCTGTTACAGACTGCAATAAGGCAAATATCGCAATAAATCAAGTCATACAAGTTTTTTGATTTTCCAATGCATATAAAGGTTATATTATTTTATACTGGTGTCTATTGAGCATCCAATAGCCTTATGTCTAAAAAAGAAGGTATATAACTTAATTTAAAATACTCTATTGCCAAAAGATGCTAACAATCTGAGCCTTCAGTGAGTTGTGATCTTTTTCCTGGTGGAAGAAGGCCTTGGCTTGATGTTGATGGCTGCTGACTGATCGATCAGCAATGCTGTTCGATAGCATTTTACCCACAGTAGCATTTCTTTCAAAATTGAAGGCAATCCTCTCAAATCCTGCCACTGCTCTATCAACTAAGTTTATGGATATTCTAAATCCTTCATTGTTATTTTAACAATGTTCACAGTATCCTCACCAGGAGTAGATTTCATCTCAAGAAACTACTTTCTTTGTTCATTTCTAAGAAGCAACTCCTCATCCATTGAAGTTTTATCACAAGATTGCTGCAATTCAATCACATTGTCAGGCTCCACTTCTAATTCCAGTTTTCTTGCTATTTCCACCACATCTGCAGTTACTTCCTCCACTGAAGTCTTGAACCCCTCAAAGTCGTCCATAAGGACTGGAATCAACTTCTTCCAAACTCCTTTTGATATTGACCTCCTCCCATGAATCACAAATGTTCTTAATGGCATCTAGAATGGTGAATCCTTTCCAGAAGATTTTCAATTTACTTCACCCAGATCCATCAGAGGAATCACTACTGTGGCAGCTATAGCCTCACAAGATGTATTTCCTAAATAGTGAAAATTATTCCTGGACCCCGAATGCAGACTGGATATTCTGTTAGCAGGCATGAAAATAACATTTATCTCCTTGCACATTTCATCATAGTTCTTAGGTGACCAGGTGCATTGTCAATAAGCAGTAATATTTTGAAAGGAATCTCTTTCTGAACAGTAAGTCTCAACAGTGGGCTTAAAATATTCAGTCAATCATGTTGTAAACAGATGTGCCATCATCCAGGCTTTGTTGTGCCATTTACAGAGCAAAGGCAGAGTAGATTTAGCATAATTCTTAAGAGACTTAGGATTTTGGGAATGATAAAGTAGCACTAACTTCAACTTAAAGCCAACAGCTGCATTAACACCTAACAAGATAGTCAGCCTGTCCTTTGAAGCCAGGCACTGATTCCTCTCTCTAGCTATGAAAGTCCTAGATGACATTTTCTTCCAATATAAGGCTGTTAGTCTAGAACAAAAATCTGTTTAGTGTAGACACCTTCATCAATTATCTTTAGCTAAATCTTCTGGATAACTTACTGCTTCACCTTGCACTTTTATATTATAGATACAGCTTCTTTCCTTAAACCTCATGAACCACTTCCCCTAGCTTAATTTTTTCCCTGCAGTTTCCTCACCAGTCTCAGCCTTGACAGAATTTAAGAGAATTAGGGCCTTGCTCTTGATTAGTCTTTGGCTTCAGTGAATGTTGTAGCTGGTTTGATCTTCTATCCAGACCACTGGAAGTTTTTCCATTTCAGCAATAAGGCTGTTTTGCTTTCTTATTATTTATGTGTTCACTGGAATAACACTTTTAATTTCCTTCAAGAATGTTTCCTTTGCATTTGCTACTTGGCTAACTGGTATAAGAAGCCTACCTTTCAAGTCTATCTCAGCTTTTGTCATGCCTTCCTCCCTAAGCTTACTCATTTCTAGCTTTTGATTTAAAGTGAGAGACACGCAACTTTTCCTTTCACTTCACCACTTAGAGGCCATTGTGGGGTTGTTAGCTGGCCTAGTTTCAATACTGTTGTATCTTAGGGAATAGGAAGGCTGGAGGAAAGGTTGAGAGACTAGGCAACAGCTGGTTGGTGAAGCAGTCAGAACACATACAACATTTATCAATTAAGTTTGCCATCTTACACTCGTGTGGTTGATGGTGCCCAAAACTATTAGTAATAACATCAAAGATATTGGTCAAAGATTGCCACAACAGATATAATAATGAAAAATTTGGAAAAATTGCAAGAAATACCAAAATGTGACAATACTGAGATACAAAGTGAGCATATGCTATTGGAAAAATGGCACCAACAGACTTGCTCAACACAGAATTGCCACAAACCTTCAATTTGTAAAAATCTATCTATAAAGCACAATAAAGTGAAGTGAATTAAGATAAAACAGGTATGCCTATATATATATATATATATATCAATGTTTTTCCAAAAAGTGAATCAATTCTTAAGACATACAGTATGTTTCCATTATTTTAACTCTCAAGCCAAAAGTATCTTCACTCCTACCTTCTTGGAAACAAATTTTTAGAATTGAAAAGGGATGTCTTAATTGTACATGAATAAAAGCCAAGGCCCTCAGAGGTTTTTACTAATTCCACACTATCCAATCTAATGTATCTAGGGAGTAAATTCAAAATTTAAGACAAAAATAGAGGGACACTATAGATGTGAAACAGCAAGTTAACATATGTCTTAAGTAACACATAGCTTACCTGTCTGAACCAGTGGTTGCATTTTTTGTGAGCCTTCTTTTTTCTCTTTTACCAGTTTCTGGAGCAAATTCAGTTTGCTTTCCTGGATTTGTAAACTGTAATGACCTCAAAGCTTTAGCAGTTCTTCCCTGAATAAAGGTAAACAAATTATCAACTCAAATCTTGACATCACACAATAAGTAAATCTTATACTTAATGTTAATCCAGGTTACTCCTTAAACTGGAAGATAGTCTGGAATACATTAAGAAAATAAGGTTTTAGAGTCCTAGTGCAAGAAAATTTGCATGGCCCTGAACCACACTCAAAGCTTATTGGTTCATTTATTAACAACATTTCCATTATTTGATTTTACTTTCTGGTGGAGCAGGAGCAGAGGAGGACAGGCATGGTGAAAACTGTAATTGCTGCCACCATGAGAAAGGCAGCAGAAAACTGCTATATAACCCTACCACACATAACAATCCTGGGTCCTTAAGAAAGGGTTCTATTATTATATTCTATGTATTTTTAAAAGCAAAGAAGTAATATAGTTTTAAGTTCTGAAATGGTATTATAATCTTCTTAAAAAGCATTGGTAAAACAAAATTTTGGTGCTTAAGAGTTTAAGTTTTTTATTTTGGGGAGGGAACCAAAGAGCACAAGGGCAATGGTTAGATAGGTGAAGACACTTAGAGTGACAGCACCAGCCAAGTATTCTAATATAAACTGCAGAAAACACTGGGTCCTGGAGATTAGCCTCTGTGAGGGCAACAAAAGGAAAATACTAGATATGACTTAAAATGTTCATTATCTTTTAATTTGGTTTATTAATAAGGAGAAAATTGAGAAAGATATTCCAATAGCAAGAATAATGAAACGGTAAGTAAAAATTTTGAAAAGAGCTCCTTTGACATACTTGACCTTGTTCTATACCAAACACTGCTTTATGAAATCTTAAATTGTTCTGATATGGTTAAATAATCTGCATAGGCAGGTGAATAAGGGAGACAGGTATAAAATATTTAATGCTTTACAATGTAAAAATGTATGCTTTTTGACCACAGTGAGTTCTAAAATTAGCAATGACCCTAGCAAGTAAGAATTCAGAGCTAGAACCGAAGAAAACTCACAAGCATTTAAGAAATTCAAACAAGAATGGAATAGTGTTGAAGGAGAAAGATTGATATAAAAAACAATTATTACAAGTCACTTCTCTGATGTTCTTTTTAAATCAGTTATTTCTATATCCTTCATAAAACAGGGAATTCATACTGCTATAAAGACCCTTGCTGGCTGGCATGTCCCACGATTACTTTGGTATCAGAATCTAAATCTTGACTTTGCCAGAATGTTCTAAAAGCCACTCCTAATTTCTTAGTACTATAAGTTGCAGGTTGGAGTCTTGGGTATACTGTATCATTCCTTCCCTAGGTCTCCTTTATCACCCAGTCTTGACCTTGGGTATATGGAAAAATTCAGAAACACCATTTACTTTTGCTTCCCCAACTTTAAATTCACTATATGCTGATGAATAAATAAATATGATTTCTTTTATAGTTTAATAAAATCTCACATTGTAGAAGTCACATAGTAGGAAAAAAGGGCTATTATACATACATCTGATTCAGGTTTTCTTCTCTGGCGGTCCTCAGCATCAACATCCACACTTCCATTGATTATCTGTGTACACTTTGGACAAAGCTTCCAACCAGGTACAAGCTGTCTTCCAAATTTTGCACTCAGAAAAGTGGCATCATCTAAGTCAATTACATGTAAATTTTTTTTGGCTAGTTTTTTGTGTATGTTAAATGGGTCACAACATGACTTCTGCAAATCCTCAAATCTGTCAATGTAAATTTTTACGTGATGAAAGCAAATTGTATTGTTCCCAGACAGTGTCATTCCAGTTCTAAGTTGAAGTAAGAGCATGTCATTTGATGACAATTCTTGCAAAGTCTTGAAACCTGTATGACGAGTATAGTAGGTTTTATGGCACTCATTTGTGGTACGAAGCTGGACTCCAACCGAACATGGATCCATCATTCTTGATTCCATCAAATCTTCCCACTTACTTTGTTTAGAGATCTCTCTTTAATAGGTCATGTGCTGATCACCCTAACAAAAACATTAAAGAGAATCAAATTTATGCTGCAAATGTTTTATCTGGGAAACTAAAAAAGCATTTGATAAAATTCAATACCCATTTAAAAGCAAGTGAGGAACAGAAAGGTATTTACCAAAAGCCTACAATAACCATTATATTTAATCAAACATTAGACATATTCCCCATAAAGTCAGAACTACACAAGAATACCTATCACAGATTCTACTTATGACCACATAAGGATTAAAAAGGAAGAAGCAAGAAATATTACCCAAAGATGATATAAGTATCTACATGAGAAATACAAGAGATTCAACAAACTATTAGAGCTAGTAAAAGAATTCAGCAGGAAGGCTAGAAACCAAAAAAACCATAAGGTATCTTTAAAATATATAAAGCTTACAAAAGATATACAAGAGTTTCCCAAAATAAAAATAGGTATTTTATCATGGGAAGCCTGACTACAATAAATATGTCAATTCTCCAGGAATTCATCTATAAATTCAATGTTATTCTAATCAAAATCCCATCAGATATTCTACCCTCAGACCCTAGGAATTTAGCAAGTGGGTCTATATGAAAGAGTAAAGGTCCCAGAAAGCCAAGAAATCTTGAAGGAAAATATAGATATTAATTTACTATGAAGCTATGATAATTAGAACACTGTGGTACTGTTATAAATTAGACAAATAGATTCATAAATAGATGAGGGCTTGGTGTCTGACATGTAGTGCTATAATCAATGGGTGTGCCACATTAATCTAGAAAGGCTTTTAACCAGGTAACATAATGAAAAAGAATAAGATCTCTTTTGCACAAACAAAATCAATTACAGATGGATTAAAGAATTAAATATGAAAAGAAAAACTGTAAAAATGTTTACGAGAAAATAAAGATGATTTTATGATATGGGAGTAGGAAAGAATTTTTCTAAGAAAGCACATATCCAAGAAAAAGATTGATTATATTTGATTATGTCAAAATTTCACACATTTCTGTATAACAAAAAGAGAAAAAACACACACCTGAAATTATTGTGAGATTATCCCAAATATTCTAACAACTTTTGACTTCAATTAGAAAATAATAAAGAACCCACTGGAAAACTAAATAAACAGGAAATTCACAGAGAAAGAGAAAAAAGCCAATAAATACATACAAAGTGTTTACCTCACAGTTCTTAGGAAAATGTAAATTAAAACCATTTCTCAAACATCTGCTTGAAAAAAGATTTAAAACTCTAATATCCTACTGCTGGATAAGATTTGGCCAACTTGGGGGTAGGTGTGGTGGCTCACGCCTGTAATCCTAGCACTCTGGGAGACTGAGGAAGGAGGATCTCTCAAGGTCAGGAATTCAAGATCAGCCTGAACAAGAGCGAGACCCCCTTTCTACTAAAAATATAAAGAAATTAGCTGGGCAACTAAAAATATATAGAAAAAATTAGCTGGACATGGTGGCACATGCCTGTAGTTCCAGCAACTCAGAAGGCTGAGGCAGAAGGATTGCTTAAGCCCAGGAGTTTGAGGTTGCTGTGAGTTAGGCCAACATCATGGCACTCTAGCCTGGGCAACAGAGTGAGACTCTTATCTCAAAAAAAATGTGGCCACCAACTCTTACAGGCTCCTTACACTTTGGCAGGAACATACATTGCTGCAACTGCTTTAAAATGTTCTGCAATTTCTTGCAAATAGAAGGAGTACATATCCCAGGAACAAGCACTTTCAGTTCTAGGTATCTATGCTGAAGAAAATTATCTCCAATATGAGCACAAGTTATATACAAAAACTTTCAGCATTCACTGGTTTTGGAAGTGAACGATGAGAAATAACCTAACCATAAAAGATGAGAAATTGTGGGTTACTCATTCAGGGGACTTCTGTGTAACAGTTAAAACGAATAAACTGCATGAATTAAAGGAATCAGCATGGATAAATCTCAAAGCTGAAGTGAAAAAAATCTGCTAAAGGACAGTTTCATCATTAATATAAAATTTTAAACATGTAAAATGGTATAAAAATTTATGGATGAAAACATTAACACATACAAACATATACATGAGAGTAACAGATGCCACATTTGTGGATACTTCTGAAGAGGAAAAAACATTTTTGCAGTTTTTAAGTTTTGTTCATTGAAAAAACAACAGAAAAGATTGGTTAGAAATCTTAAATACTTTTTGACATGATTTCTGAATAAACTATTATAATAAACTATATAAACTATATATACTAATAACTATCAGTAAAGGCACATAAATAGAAAAAAACCCTTGCCTCAAATAATAAAAAATGGTGAATATACATCTGTGTTTTTAGTCAAAATACTAAATTTAGAGAGTTAAAAAATACAAGTTGAAGTGTTAACATTTTATTGAACATTTTAACTGAAAAAAAATTTAAAACTGGTTAATGCAGTATTTTGTTTTACCCAACTTTTAAAACTTAAGAAATATAGGTCCCAATCACATCTGATAAAATGGCTTGCATTAATTATAGTAATATTTAATTTTTATTCAAACAGAAAATTGGATTAAGATAAATTAAGGCATGGAAAAAGAAGAGGCCAGAGTTAAGGTTACAAAACAACAAAATATGGGATATGGTCTATCTTAGCAAACAGGGGACACAAATCTAGCTCTGATCTTAAGTCAATACAAAGAAGGAAACTAGATCAACCATCCCCTGGCACATTATAGAAACTGCTAATGCTTAATATCTTAATACCACAGATTCATTATATTTGCAGGTACCTATATCACCAATTTATAGCCACTAATCTACAACAGTCTCGCTTTGTTGTCCAGGCTAGAGTGAGCTCCGTGGCGTCAGCCTAGCTCACAGCAACCTCAAACTCCTGGGCTCGAGCGATCCTTCTGCCTCAGCCTCCCGAGTAGCTGGGACTACAGGCATGCGCCACCATGCCCGGCTAATTTTTTATATATATATATCAGTTGGCCAATTAATTTCTTTCTATTTATAGTAGAGACGGGGTCTTGCTCTTGCTCAGGCTGGTTTTGAACTCCTGACCTTGAGCAATCCGCCCGCCTCGGCCTCCCAAGAGCTAGGATTACAGGCGTGAGCCGCCGCGCCCGGCAAACAGGATTTTTTTTAATCACAAAGCTATTTCCTAGTGTTCAAAACTTGGGCTGTCCTAATCATATTTGACAGGAAAAGCATCTTGTGAATTAGGAAATCTATTTAGAAACCTTATCTGTCCATAGTAATAAATTTTTACCCTTTAAGGTAATTTATCTACCCTATTAATCTTAATTTTAGGTAAAAAAAAAAAGTATTATTTTTGGCTATTGGGAGCCTCTGTTCTCTTAAATCTTGTCTAAACCACTACATAATTCACAAGAGTTCATCAGCAGACTCTTGTAACTTGTGCAAGTGAAGTTGGAATACCTATTTCTAACGACTTACTTGTTAACTTGGAAATGTAATTGATTAACTGTTATTTAATCTATTTTTCTAGTAAGTTTTTGCTTGGATATCTTCCACAAGAGCATAAATTCTTTTTTCTACCACAAAATTCTTTTATTAACTTTAAAATACTACGAACTTTGGACTCTTACTTGGAGTGCAGAGTTAAAATTTGTTTCCTTCAAGTTAGCCATGATGCTATCAGTCTTTAAAAGCATTCCTTCTTGTAAATGGTGGCTTCCAACCATTTTGAGCTCTTGGCACACTTTAATTAGAACACTATAATTTTTGGAGAAGCACTTAAAGGAATTAAACTGCCCCCATAATTATTGTACTATTTTCTAAGCAGCTATTCTCCAAGTGTCACTGCTGGGGTGGAATTATTATTATTATTGTCAGATAAAATGCTGGATGTTCAGCTAAATTGGAATTTAGGATACTACACAATTTTTATCTAACAAATAATTATTTTAATTATGTCCCAAATATTGCTAAAAATTCACTGTCTGAAATTCAAATTTAACAATGCATCCTGTATTTTTATTTGCTAAATCTAGAAGCCCCATTTTTCTGCCTCTTCCAGTAAGTAGAGATCTTTCCCATTTGATGCCAACTCCATATCTTACCTGTTGCTAAGAGAAAACTGAATTTCCTATGAGCAAATTACAGGACCAGCTCAGTTTAAAATTAAAATGTCTTACTTGATAAATTGTCAGTTGCTTGATAATTGTCTTACTTGATAAATTGTAAAACCGAATTTTACACACTGATTAAAACTCAGTGGCACATTAATACCATTCACACTTGAGTTAACATCAGGGTAAAAGTGCATACACTTCAGTTAAAGGCAGTTTCATACTTTAAGTCTTACATAGGTTAGCTTCCTTACATTGGTTAGCTGATTTATGATGACGTAGTTTGCTCATGTATTGCCAAAGAAGAGTACAGCTAGCTCAAGAAGCATAACATTTCAGGCAGTGGTCATACCCTTTGGTGGCTCCTCCTCTGTTATATTCCTAAATATCCTCATTTCCAGATTTTCTGTCCGCTTCTTAGCTAAAGTTCTGCTATAGAGATCTCTGGATCTATTCCCTAGTAACTGTTATTGCTCATTTTGATCTGTGTTCTGGCAGTGCAGCCTAAAATTGTTATTTTATTTTCTTCAAGTCACAGTCCAGCAACTTCATGTTGTTCCCTTCATCTACAGTACAGTGCTATGTTCTTCCTTAATAATCTATGTAACCCCTGCCTTAATAAATATAGTCCGAAATGCATTGCTATTTGCTGTCTATGAACCAGCACAAGCATCAGCTGAGACATTACAAGAAACGCAGAATCTCAGTACCAGCCCTAGACCCACTGAATCAGGATCTGCATTTAAAAAGAGATGTCCAGGTGATTTATAAGCAAATTACAATTTGAGAGGCACTGCTTCAGATAATTCAACTAAAAAAATTCTCCAAACATCATCTAAATTTTATAGAATATATCTATAAAAAGAGTAAGAAATAAATTTTATAGAATATATCTATAAAAAGAGTAAGAAAAACACACAGGTAATTGCCTTCCAGGAAGTCTGACACTAG